AGCGAAGAAGATGAGTTTTATTCATCCTGTGTGGGTACTATAAAATAAACTCTTGGTTCTCTGAATGAATAATTGCATTAATGAGTCAATGAATAAATAAATTAGTCTATGTTATACAATTATAAATATAATGAATGGTCTTCGGTAAGGTCACACCAGTAGTGACTAGCTGAACTAGGAAATCCAGGGACCAGGAACTTTGGTCCTTGGAAACAAATTTTTTGTTTGTTTGTTTCTTTATTGATTTTAGAAAGAGAGGAGTGAGAGGGAGAGAAATAGAAACATCGATGAGAGAGAACATCGATTGGCCACCTCCTGCACGCCCCCCACCAGGGATCGGGCCCACAACCCGAGCATGTGTCCTGACCGGAAATCAAACCGGTGACCTCTTGGTGCATGGGTCGACGCTCTACCACTGAGCAACACCGGCTGGACAACCAAATTCTTAAATCATAACACAGGAGAGTCACATGAAAATTGACATTCATCTAGTCGTATGAGCTCACCTCCTCTACTGTTCTCTTTTTTAACAACAATTCACTTGTCATTTAAAATGATACTGACCATTTGTTCCATAATGCTTTGGGGGGGTGGGGGACAAAACGTTAGTGCAATAAAAGCAGTCAAGGACTCCTTATAAATAAACACCAGGACCTCTTGCATTTTTCCTCTGCTCACTCTCTATCCAAATGAGAGCAAAACTTTTCCTATATGCTGATATTTTGTTTTTAGAAAAAAACATTGAGTACCCTTTACTGTCATATGGCCGTGCCCTCTATTTTCTGACAAAATGGATTGTTTAAGATAATCTATATCTAAGTCAAGTGACCGTTTCTCTTTCCGTTGGTGCCCTTCAACATTTAATTGGCTTATTAATAATAGCCCTATTCAGCAAATCATCTCATTAAGATACCTAGGGGAACATTTTGCAACTAGATTGTCTTGAATTGTTCTCTAGGCATTTAAATTCTGTAAATTAGGCACTCTACAAATGGCATAATTGAGATTTTGATGCCTAGGGGAGTATTCGGTAACACCCACTTTAATTTTTCCCCAATTCCCTAGGAATAGCAATTAGGGCATTAAAAAGCTTCCTTGTCTAATGTTGAATGGGAAAGAAAATTGATTTAAATAGGGGAAAATATTAGAACTCTTTTTGGTTCCTTACGCCATCAGTTCAACTATCTAAAATGATGGAGGGGCTTTTCATTTATCATGCTATGAGCTTCAACAATGAAGAGTTACATGATTGCTTATTCAGAAGAGACCTTCTGCATGTCTTGTGCCTGCCAGGAAGTTTGCCTCAAATGATCAGTTCTCAGAAACAGTATTTTTGGAGGATCCCCTGTAGGAGAGGAAGCCTATCCGTCCCGCTGAAGAATCTGTTGTATCCTGGGGTAACCCAGATCTCCAGTGTTGGCTTGTTTGGGGCTCTCTCACCCACTTCTCCATTCAGATCCAAAGCAAAACTCAACTCTGGACTTCCACAAAAATATTCCCTGTCTCCAAGAACTTCAGAGTTGCATAGAGCTTACTGAATTACTGGGGAGAGGGAAGTCTTCCGTGGTCACTCTCTGCCTCTTTTTTGTAGCCCCTGTCCTTACCTAACCCTTCCGTTTTCCTGTGTCTGTGTGTATACACAATGTATAACAGCAAAGAATGACATGCTAGATGTATTTTTGTGTCTAGATACATGCTATATGTTTTTATGTCTATATAATGAAATATAACATATCATCTAAAATGACTTTTGGATGGAGATTATTTTTTTAAAGCTTTATATTTTCGGTCAATGGCTATAAAGATTTTTAAACATTTACTTGATGAGGCTGTGCAGTCTCTGTTTTTACCCCTCCCAGTGACAGTGCACCCTTCGGAGGTTGTCTATCATTGTGCTTAGTTTTGGATCTACACCTCCGTGAAGGAGTTACATCTTCTTTTCATTAGTAGTTTAAGACGAATGAGAGGAAGAATAGTACAGTGATACCTCGGTTCTCGAACGCCTCGGTTTTCGACCAAATCGGTATTCGACCAGGAGATTCGAGAAACTTTTGTCTCGGAATCCGAACAAATATTTGGAACTCGAACTTCCGAGATGAGCCGAGTTGAGCCGAATGGCGTTCATTCGGCCCAGCGCGCCTTGTTTGTGTCATCAGTGTGAGTGCAGAGAGAGAGTCACGCTTTGTGGAGAGAGTCACGCTTTACACTGAATTTAACCCTTAGACATACTGTACACTTTTATTTCTTGTTGAGACTTATGTTTTTCTACATATTATATACAAATTAGGCCAGTAAATAGGCATTTTCTGGGGCTTGGAACGAATTAATCCAGTTTCCATTATTTCCTATTGGGTTTCATTGCTTCGGTTCTCGAACAATTTGGTTCTCGACCGTCCTCCTGGAACGAATTATGTTCGAGAACCGAGATATCACTGTACTCGACATGGAGATTATTACACTAAGTGAAATAAGTCAGTCAGAGAAAGACAAATACCATATGATCTCACTTATATGCAGAATCTAATAAGCAAAATAAACTGATGAATAAAATAGAACCAGAGGCATGGATACATGGAACAGACCGATAGAGGTCAGAAGGGAGGGATGTGAGAGGGTCTGGATAAGAGAAAGTAAAGACATTAGCCAAAGAACATATATGCACAGCCCATGGACACAGAAAACAGTGTGGTGAGGTTCCAGGGGAGGGGATGGTAGGGGCTGGGTGGTGGTAGACAAAGGGGGGGCTACGGGGGACATCTGTAATAGTGTGAACAATAAAAATAGAAAAGCACTGGAGTCTGTTATGTTCAATAAGGGTGAGATCTCTTCCCCTGTGGGGACATCCCTGCATCTGCACTCTGTGACCTTCATGTCACATGCGTCCGAAGCACCCTCTGTTATTTGAAAGAACTCATTTCTTTCTCCTGTGCTAGTTAGTAAATTCCAACACGGGGTCATTGCATGTGTCTTATTCACTATTGTGTTCATAGTTCGAGAACAACCTCACTACCCTCTAAGGGTTGAAAGAATAATTGATGAAGAAACGGCTAAAGGTAGGAGATTTGGGGGTAATGGTGGCTGTTTGGCATAGCTGTCCTAAGTGTTTCAAAAGTGCACCTAGGTTCCTTTCTTTACTTGACTAATCACTAGTGACTTAGGGACGTTACAACTCTCTGGCCCAAACTGTTTCAGTTATCCAACAGCTTTTTCCATATACCTCATAACACCATAAATACTGGACAACGTCCAGCCTAACAAATTCATATATTTGTAAGTTTCAAAAAGCAAGGGAAGTGCTTCCGGTTTATATGGTAACTTTAAGTACTTGTCCAAAACCCATGGCTCCATTAGGAGTGTTAATATCTTCCATTTTAGACGAAATAACAAAAACAGTCCAACCAGTTTCCTTTGTGATAGATGTTTATGTAACCAAAAATAAGGAGGAAAAGAGAATACTAGTATGGTGTCAAAGATAGAATGTGTTCTTGTCTCCTTTTGAGGGACACTTTATGTTTGTAGTACCATCAATTTAATACAGTCATGAATTTAACTTCCAGAATTTGATTTTAGAAAATAAGTTCTCAATTTTAATCATAAATGCAAAAAAACATATTTATACTTTATAGTCAAGAAACATTGTAAAATATTAGTTCAACATAAAGTATTTCTTAACTGAGCTCTGAGGTTAAAAAGATTGAACTATCTATAATCTGTCTATCTATCTATCTATCTATCTATCTATCTATCTATCTATCTATCTATCTCTATGACCAGTCTACAATTTGTTTATAATTACCTCTCTGGGAAATTGAGATTTGCAATTGCAGTGAAAAATTATTAGGTACATGACTCTACAGAGAACATTATTTCATTTCCATATAGTTGTTATGGAACTAGTTTCCCCTTAAAAATTGCTGTGATGTATTAAGTAGGAGACCTAAGTCCTGGAACACACAATTTAATCGCTTTTTCTCTTTGCTCCCTCATGCAGGCTGACAGAGGCAGTTGCTATCATTGTCTCTGTAGCAGACAAGGAGAAACAGGGCAGATGTTAAGGAACTTACCTGGTTTAAATGGTTAACGTGGAACAGCTGAATGTTTACCCTGTTTAGGATAGTTTAATTCATAAAATCATATCAATTCATTTTTCTGGAGTCATAGTATTTTTTAAAAAATAAAATGTAATTAAAATGGTATATGGTTTAAAACATTTACTTTAGAAAAGAGTCAGATAAGATTTAAGTGTAGAATTTTAAAATGGGATAACATTTTTTATTTTCTTATGCTAATAGCTTCTTTAACAGATAATAATTTTCCTGTATGTTGTTTCTTTTTGAGTCTAAAATATTATAGTAATAAAAAATGCTAGTGATAATTTAAAAAGTATTCAAACTTTATTTGCAAGACATTTTATCATTACGCCCCCCCCAAAAAAAACCTTAAACAATACTCTATCATATTTAATTTTTCCTCTTCACATGATTATTAATAATCAGCAAAGTGGGAAAATAGAAAACTTATATATGTGATATTTTTAAAAATCTGGTAATTATGAAATTGTCACTGTTTGGCAAATATAAAAACACTACAGTTTTATAGAAAAGTCTTAAAAATTACTTCACACATATAGCAACTCCATTTATCCCTGTGGACTAGAAAATTTCCTTTCTTGATATTAATAAAAACCACCAGGCCCATTCAAGATAATTTTAATTAATTAATTAATTTGTTTGTTTGTTTATTTTAGATAGAATGGAAGGGATGGAGGGTGAGTAAGAGAGACACATAGATTGGTTGCCTCCTGCGTGACCCCGTCTGGGGCGGGGCCTCAAACCTGCAACCCAGGTACATGCCCTTGACTAGGAATCGAACCCATGACTCCTTGGTCCAGGCGTCAGTGTTCTAACTGCTGAGCCAAACCAGCCAGCACAAGACAATTTTTTAAAAATCTCAACTTTATTTTATAGGTATTTACAAATAGATATTCATTGCCTTTACAGAAAGATAAAGAAGACCAGTGGCTAGAGAAGAAAGTGCAGGGAAATAAAGATCATATTATTTTGGAGCATCTGCAGTGGACAATGGGCTATGAAGTTCAGATCACAGCTGCCAACAGGCTGGGATATTCAGAACCGACAGTCTACGAGTTCAGCATGCCACCAAAGCCCAACATTATTAAAGGTAAGCAGAACCATACGCTTTCTCTGGTTGAAAATAAACATGACATCATCTCTATAACCCCTCTGGATTGTTTCTGATGATTAAAAACACAACTTTATAGAAAGAAGTGCAAGTTATAAGTTGTAATAATGATTGTTGTAACATCCTACTTGAGATTTCTCAATCACTCTTGTGATGGTGAACTGGGTCACTTATAAGTTTATTTTGATAACTTCAGTGGTTGAAGTGGTGGAGGGAGGATGAGCAGAGGACAAGGGTGCAAGGGCAGGGTGACTGTTGAATATCGACATGAAACATTGCTGTTGAGATCAGAAACTTGACGAGGGGGACAACTTCTCTGACAAACGTGTGGGGGCTGGTCCCACACTTCTGGGAAGATGTGGCCAAAAATAATGGCAAGCTCTTCCATGCCTGACTAGGCAAGTTGATTTTGGAAACATAAACTCAATTACAGTGAGGCAAAGACACCCACAGACGTAGCTCAGAAAGAAATGTAATTAGAATTTCAGGGAAATTCACAACATGGCAGGACACTGTACATCGGTGTCCACAGCACACGGGGGATTGCGCCTTTGTCAGGTCACGGTGCTCAGCCCCCGTGCTAATGCCGTGCAAAGTCCACAGCGGGATATGGCAATGTTTTTCAGAAAATGCAATAGAGGTGAAGATGCAAGAATTCATCTTGATTTGTAGTCATATTTAACTCTGTTAGTGAGTTGTCATATTGGACGTATTTTAACATTTATTTAATATAAATAACATTAAATATCATATTTTGTATTTACTAACCATTTTTTTCATATGTACAAATATATATGTACTCTTTATATATACATCTAGAGACAGATGACAGCAGCATATTCGTGAGCAGGGCTTAATTATGTCATATCATAATAGAGTATCAGTATTACATAACATTTTTGAGACTGGAAAAAAATGAAATTTGTCTGCTCAGTTATGCTGCTTAACCCTCTTATACTTTCAAATTGATATTAATCTCATTATTATGATTTTGTTATATGTATATCAGTTTTGTAAAATTGAGAGCAGCTTTATACAATTAATCTTTCTATTAAAAAGCAATTGCAGTTGGTTTTATGGCTTAAAAGTAATTGATAGTATGGCTTTGTATTGCTAATATTAATTAATGAGTGCTTCCAATTATAATTTGAAATTAGGAGGTTGGGAGCATCAGTAATAATATGGGTATCTCATAATGGCATTTAAAAAATGTACAAAGTAGTTCTGCATTTATTATCTCATTTTAATCTTGAATCTGAGTTTAACAGGGAAGAGCTATCCTTATTTTACTGACATAATTTTGAGAGGTTAAAAGATCTGTTCAAGGTCAGAGCTACTTTAAGTCATATGACAAATCTAATACCCTTCTAAATGCTACACATAAATAAGAAGAATGGTTGAATGTACTATCGAGTTCATTGCCCATGTGAGTTTTAAACATCACTAACTGCCTCTAAGATCATAATATAGTATGTTTGTAACAATTATCCTCTATGTAGATGTCAAGAATATGATACAAATATGATTCTTAATCTGAGTCAGCAAAGGGAGATTGAAACAGTGTACTTCATCCTCCTAAATCTTTAACTTAGATCATATATTTAGAGAAAATAATTATTTTTATCAGGATAAAAATTAATGTTTTATGATGGAGAAGGCGACATTTTAATAACATTTTTATAGATAAAACACAAACTCTAAAAATATCGATTCCAGGCAGGTTATTTTTTTTTTATACTCCCAGAGAGCTTGCTATTTTTATAAGAAATTGTTCATAAAAACCAACATTAAGGATAGACAGAAAGGTAAATAAATGGTATGTATACAAAGGCACAAAAATAGGTAAGGTATTTTATGATACATTTACTATAAAAGCATTTTTCCGTTTGTTCATTTCCATTTTGGAGAATCAGCTGTGGGCAGTAACAAGGAAAATGGACAGAATTCTAGTTTGTAGTTTCAGCTTTGCTCTTGTCAATTTCTCTTGCTCTGCAGTTTCTCATCTCTAAGCTAGTTTCTGCTGGTCCTCAGTGATAAGATTCATTCGTTCATTCATTCCGGTTATTTATCGGGTCTTACTTTGTGACAGTACTGAGAGGAGTACAGAAGAATGACCTCGGAAAAGCACAGAATGCCCTGCCTTCAGACACTGCACAGTCTAGTAGGGAAGATGGACAGTAAACAAGGTTTAGAACCACCACCAAGTAATTCCAGCGAAGAGATGCTGCTGCAGTGTGCTACATGAGGGGTTGGCAGGGCCACCTAACTAAGGGGGAGTGGGGGCTGGGCAGAGGCTCCCTTACACAGTGACTTTCCCAAAGAAACTTGGAGGGATAAACCTTCCCGGGAAAGTCTTATATGGAAGAAAAGTCTGTGAGAGAAGGGAGAAATGGATCCTCTTCAGGAACTAGAAAGATCATGACAGGAAGAGAACCTGGAGGTGTGTGAGCAAGACAAGGGTAGAGACGCACCTGCAACCCGGGAAATCCAAGTTCTAAAAACCATACGAAAATTTTAAAACAAATCCTAAAACCAGTAAGAAATCATTTTTTATTAATGATTTTTTATTTTATTACTTGGAAAGCCAAGACATGCCTTTATAGTTCGAGAAGTGTTTGACTTAGCTTTGGAAGGTTTCCTGGAGCAACTATCAAGTTTGTGATGGATGATGGTGAATTTGGGAGGCTTTACACCCAAAATATTCTAGATAGGTAAAATTATGTATTGGCAACATAAGGAAAAATACTCTTTCTATGATTTCATTATAGTTACTCTTGTACAATGTGATTTATTATTCCATTTAAAGAAATATGGTAAATTCAAGCTCATACCTGAAATAAGTTACCTATAATAAACTAGCAGCTATTGAGTCTCTATTTAATTTGGGATGATATGGAGTTTAAAAGTTAATTTAGATTTTTTTCTGTTTCTTTTGTTTGTTACAGAATAGTCATGTAATGTAAAGTACAGCACAGGGAATATAGTCGATACTATTCTGATAACTATGTACGGTGTCAGGTGGGTGAGAGATTTATCAGGATGATCGCTTAGTAAGTTCTGTAAGGGCTATTCGCTGGATGTATACCTGAAACTAATATAATAATACATGGCAACTGAATTAAAAAATAAAAAATGATTTAAAACTTAAAAAAAAACATTACTTTTATGCATTCAGGTATATTTAACTTACAAGCAATAGACTCGATCTAGAGTACACTTATGTGTTGGACTGAAGAGCTATTTATTTTTTAAATGTGTTCATCTTACCTTCATATATTTTATTCATAATAATAACTTTTCTATATATGTATCTTAGGGGATACTACATTTCTTCATAGTATATGATTCTGATTTTACAAGTATTTTGTGATTAAAAGTATTTTCTCATTTTTACTATTTAAAGATGTGTTTATTTTGAAAGGTGTTTCTTGATTTACATAGAAATAGTGTGCAAATTCAGGATTATGTTTCTTTTTAAAATATTGATGAAGCATAATTCCATCTTATTTTATTTAAACAGTATAAGAATATTGGATAATTATGACAAATTAACTCATACAAAAATGGTTACAAAACGATATATAGACTTGGTAAAATGGCATTTATTGATCTGTTCTGTCATTTTAATGACTAAAAATACTGCTAACTTGGTCACTTGAATATAGTGTCTTTTAAAAAATTATCAGAAATAGACTTATTTTGAGACCATTTTCATCATTCCTTTTGACCAAAACACGTTTAAATTTTTTTTTTTTAACCAAAGAAAAACCTTAGTATCTTTGGGTGATCACTTACTTGATCTTTTCTTGTTGCTGTGACTGAAGACATGTCTAATTTTAATATTCAGTATCAATATGATTTGGTGACCAATGATTTCATTTAGACTTTCCTAAGATCCAATGGTAAAATTATTCTATTTACTCTACTTCCACACAAATCTGGTATACCCTTTCATCCTTGAATGACTCAACATGAACAAAAAACAGAATATTCAAGTACAGGGCAAATCCTAAAATGTTTTTCTTAAGGTTAAACTTATAGTCACAATATAAATTAGAGAAATTCTAAAACAGTGGTGGAATGGAAATTCAGTTACTTGAGGAAAACTTTAACTATGTGAAACATCTCAGTCAATTCTAAATATAAATCCTACATACAAAACAATATTTCTTTGTGTTTGCACATAAAGAAAAAGTAAGTTTGTAAATTATATTCATAATCTGTGCTTCTTAAAATTATATTTCATGAGGTACAGTGACATATGTCTAAAGTGTGCTTGTGGTCAGTTAAATTAGTGCTTCCTGATCCTATTCGCATTGCTGATTTTTATTGTACGAATATGTAAGTTTCACTTGTTTCTTGGTAATTCATTATTAATAATAATATTATTTTTATTAATGTCTTGTAAGAAATCATAGTAACATAAAATTATCAGTAAACATTGCAGAATATGATGCGCTTATATTCAAAGTAGCAGTTTGAATTTACCAGGAGTACAGTGGAAAATGACTGGTGATTTTTCTCCTGTAAATTGTATATTCATTATAGAATAAGATGTTCACATGTAAACAATCAATGATAGAACTAATATCTGAGTTATATGAAATAAATATTATTAATATTAAGCCTCCACTATGTTTATAATGTATGGCAAGTATTTAGAAATGTTTTCTACAAGATTTTTACCATTCTTTGTCTTGTAGCAAAATAATTGGTAATGGCATTGTGGAAATCTGGCATTAATATTTTCTCTTTTTTTTTCTTTCCTACTGTCACTTTTTTCCTTCTTCTTTATGTTCATGTTTTTAACTCTATTCTTTTTTTCCTTAATTATTTTATTCTTATTCTGTTTTCAAAACCAATGTTCATCGTACAGATAAATGCTGTGAAGCGAATAAAGGCGAAAACGGAGGCCAGTCTTGGCAGCTGAGTGCTGCTGGGTTTTCTTTCATGATCGCCATAAGTTTGTCTTGCACGTT